TGAAGGAAATCCCGGCAAAAAATAAATAAATTATTTCCTCAAACTTTAGGAATCCTTTGAGTCTTAATATAGATTTAGTTTGGTGCCAAATTATATTTAAATCCTAACTCCAGCATTTTTTTTATTTTGAAGAGAATTACATTTCTGCCAGGTTTTTATTTCCGTGACCCCATTGGGGAGAGTTTTCTCTTTGTGACTGGGGATGAGTTAAAATATCCCATTTTGCTTTGGCAAAAAAACCTGCATGTTGTGGCACAATGCACTTAAGTCCAAGAGAAAGGTAAATGGAGTTTTCTAAGAACTCCAGAAAAACTTTTTCTTAACTCTTGCATTGGGGTTACCCCCACACTGCAAGGTATAAGTGCTCATTTAGGTTAAAAAAATAACAGTTATACTTACCAAAAGCTCCTCCTCTGTTGAATCTTCCTCAGCGTCCTCATGCCTATACACTATGCATAGACATGACAATTTGGGGGACCTTAAGCCACTGTAGAAGAGGCGGAGCAAGACTGGCTTAAAAACAAGCCGGCTCAGAGCATAAGGGGAGTATAACTTTTTTTTTTAAAACCTAGAGATAATCCTTGCAGTGCGGGAATAGCCCCACTGCAAGGGTTTATGCATTTTTCCGGGAATCTTCTCTGGTTTGTTATGGGGTTTGTAAAAAAGGTTTGAAAAATGTTAGGGGCAATACATTATAGGGTTTTGTGGTATACTTTACTGTTATTTGATGTTTAACATTTAAAAATAGCAAAAAATTGTTACCCGGACTAAAGTCCCCCCAATTGTGTAATAACCTAAAGCTAAATATTTTGTGTTTATTTGCTTTTTGCATGTTTGCAGTTTTTTTTCTTTACAACATTTATACCCAGACATGATGTCAAATAAAAAAAAAGTAATATAAAAATAAATATTTGAGGTTGTTTAAGCAATGGTAAAAAATAAAAGAAATAAGAGAAACCTAGTTGGTATTTTTAGTTTTTTGCTGTTGTCTAAAAAAAATACACCAAATCTGTGTGAAAACTATAAAAAAAAGTATATGAACTCTGTTTTTAACTTTGTAAATGGCTTTGTTTTGCCAAAGGCAATTCATTAATTCAACCTAGTGTAAAAGGAATAGATAACTGGCTATTCATCTTGTGTCCTCATTTTACCTTAATGTATCTGTGTGGGGCTAAAAAAAAAAAAAAAAAGTCCCATAGTTCCTGTCAGTAGGGGTAAAATAATTCCCATATCATTGATGTCAGAGGGAGCTAAAGTAGTTCTATGATTAAATAGGTGCCCAGTGTTTAAATTATCCAATCCCTTGCTGTTCTGTGATGATATAGTTCTGACTATGACTAAAGAAGGGCAGGCGATCATTTTTTTTTAGCATTTTATCCTTCCGTTTCACCTGCTGATTTTGCTGGTAATACACTTCCTGTCCTAGGGGGACAACGTTCTTTCACTGTACTGTATAATCAGTAGGGATGCACCGATACCGGTTTTTCGGTATCGAGTACTGATATTTATATTTCGTTACTCACCCATACAGAGTACCGATACCAATACTTCCGGTAGCATAGGGCCAGCTTCCCGGGCAACCAGGAAGCCAGGTGGCACGTCATTACCCACCGCCCGGCTTCTTGATTGCCCGGGAAGCTGACTCATTCTTTTTGGCCAGCTCAATGCTGATTGGTCGGGAAGCCGGCTTCCCAGCCAATCGGTATCAAGGCCGGCCCAACAGATCTGACAATATGGCGACACGACCCCCACCCTGCAGACACCTCATTCCCCTCACATAGATCCTTAGCAGCAGTCATTACCGTACCAGTCCGTCAGCCAGCTGAGCAGACACCACTCTCCCGGATCTCCCCACGTCTCCTGTGTGTACAGCGCCCACGTGATCGGCCCTCAAGCTTGCTACTGCGCAGACTGCCCAGTGCTCGCATTCAAAAATCCTGTGCATGTGCAGTAGCAGGCTGAGGGCCGATCACGTGGGCGATGTGCACACAGGAGATGGGGCAGATCTATATTGTAAAGCGCTGCGCAAACTGTTGGCGCTATATAAATCCTGTATAATAATAATGATGCAAGACTTCACACACCAACAATTGTGTGAAAACTAGCAGAAAGAATTAAAAAAAAAATGCTGTGGCCAGTTAAGATTTCTCGTTACCCTGCCCTGCAGGGACAATGAACCCTGTAATTTGATTGGTTCATATGGCAAACAGCTCAATTTTTCTCATGTGTTCATAAACCAGTCTATGTAGTTTTACGCTGTCCAAAAAAATGTATCATCTTTAAGATATATAGGGTAGCTAAAAGTAATCTTTCATTTGATGGAAACTTTCTAGAGGTTAACAAATCTTTGAAATGATCTCCCTCTGCAGGAACTTGGTGAAATGAAAATCAGCAAAGACAACTGTAATATGTAATGTACAAACACATACATTGAGGGTAACAAAATCTTTTTTTTTTCCATTTTTAATTGCTGAAAGAAGTGCATTAACATCAACAGAAAAATTCATAAGGCTCAGCTGGAATCTGCATAGTTACAATTGGTAAAACAGTGAAGTGTGTGATTTCCATTACAGCCGTGACTTACTGAAACATACAATGGGTTCATACACCAGCAGGAAGCATGCCACTTCCTCTAAATCTCAAAAACAACCTGGATGATTTATAGCCCAATTTAACTGCATCTTGTACTGTTTGGACTTAGGAGTACAACTAGGAGCTGATCTATTATACGTGTGCCATCAGTAGAATTTTTTGCCCATGGAAACCAATCGGTCAGTTCAGGTTTGAACATGTAACAATGATTCGGACTGATCCTATGGCTCACTTTTTAGAAATCTGTTTTATATGGCTGCCTTTTCATACATCAACCTTTCACAATGATCAAACTAGATTTCATTTTGTACTGGCCAGACTTTAGTAAAATGAAATCTGGTTATTCATAGGTCACTTGGTACCTTCTGCTGTTGAATAAACTTGAATATCAAGCATGTTGAATTCCAATTTTCCAAACAACAAGGTTAGGGTTTTATGCCATGTACAAATTTTTAGCCAATGAAAACATATGGTGGTCCCTCCCCTCTTCTCCAAACATGCATTTTTATGGCTTTGTATATTGTGGTTTAGGAAGAATTAGTGAACACTATCAGGGTTAAATCACAAAAGGGTGAAGAGTTTGGAGAAGGCAGGAGAAATGAACAATATGGGCCAACATAGCTGATTTGGAAAAATGAATCCAATTCAGCTCACTTTCCAGTTCAGCTATGTTGTCCTAGATTGTTGACTTATCGGGTCTTCTCCAAACTCTTCACCCTTTAGTGAATAAACCTGTATGTTACAAAATATTCAAAGTTACCAGAGCATTTGATTTGTAAGTTGCCTAAAGAGCAGAGATGCACAGATCAATTTACAAACCAGATTTAGGGAAACCTGGAGAATTTACATGTTTAGCCATTTAGCATGAATATAAACCTGCAAATACTTTCAATATGTGGATGATCCCATCCCCAGACTGGAAAAATCTGCAAGTACATACCGCAGCAAATGGAAAGTTTGACAAAAAAGGAAAAATCTTCCAAACTCATGAATTGATTTACTCATCGTTTTTGATGAAGTTCTCCAAGCACAGCTAAGATCCTGCACATATGCAATAACACACATTTTAATACCTTGGTCTTCTTAGCTTCAAAAATCACTAGTGTTTTTTTGAGTCACAGCTCTGCACCGGTTTGTATTTCTTCCTTGAAGGTCTGTTCCATGCAGTATTTCTGTTTTTCCTAACCTGCTCCTCTTTAGTTACACAATAAGGTTGTGCATGCCCAGGGTGCCTTTGCCAGATTCGTTTCACCTGTATCAGCATCATATAGCTGTACTTCTCTGGTGGTGGCTTCACCACAGAAAGGGCCTACAATTGCACTATACCATGTGACAAATGTGGATTGATGCTGGTTGTTTGGCAAAATGGCCCCAACCTATCTGACCCTGCAGTTTACATATATACTGTATGTGGACTGTTTCAGCTGCCAAATATTTCTAATTTTGCTCAGCTAGCCTTGTGCTCTAGAATGCCCTACTAGAGAGCAAAACCATATCTCTGATCTCACTTTTTTCTATTGCAGATAAACAATGCAGCTTGGTCTAGGACCCACCCCAGCTAGTTTACTGGACAATGAAGAAGTGGCAGCAGCGCAATGATGAGGGCAACCTGTAGACATTGTCCAGAGAGCAATAAGCAAAGAAGCTGAACCTAGTGCTGCTGCTGTGCAGAATGAATGAAGCCAAAAGACGGTAAGTGCATTGCTGTACTTGTACTAATTGTATTTAAAAATGACATTTAATTATGATGTTCTGTGTATCTGCCTGTAAACCACCTTAAAAGACATATCAGACTGTTTCTGACCATCCTAATGCGTGGCACATATAAACAATCCTAACATTTAGATTTCTGGCAAGTAAAATATTGCAAGAGTACCCTACACAAACATCAAGTCATTGACTGTCAGCTAAGATCACATCAAATCTTACAATGATAATTCTTTTTTTGTGATATAATTAACCAACATGTTTGTGCCCACAAATGTTGAGATTTTTATAGTTTGATTTGAAGGCAGAGGATTGTGCAACCTGCGTGTGAAGTGTGTGGGTGCCTTCAGTGATAAATATACCTGTAGATTGCAAAAGGGTATTATAGAGAGAGACCAAGGTTCATAGTTATAAGATATTTATGCGACATTCACCAAATATTCACTGCAAGTGAATCTTACCACTGCATGGGTTTTACATTAGTAAATAATTAGTCACATATGAATGTTTGGTGAATGTTGCACTCTGCTTTATAAATATGCTAGGGTTTATTTGGTTTCAGTAGCATATTCTATTACGGATTCCAAAATGTTGAACATCGTGGTCCACCTATGCTATATGACGCTTCATCATTGATCAGGCTTACCCATCAATAGCACAGTTGATGACATCTTAAAAACAGGAAGCTACTTTTTCTGTTGTTGGCAGGCAGGGCAAAGTTCAAACTTTTAAAGCAGCATGGAAATCCCTTCAAAACCAATAAAGTGCTATAGCCAAAGAAATAGTAATTAGACAGTATAAAGCTGACTGGTATGATATGAGAAAACAGACTTTTAAACTATGGTATGTGGTGATTTCTGCATAAGTTGTGGTTTCTGAATTTAAAAAAACCTGCATAAAAAAAGAATGGGTTGTCACTTCTGACAAAGAGCCCTTTTGTGATTTTCAACATTCATTGTTAAATGCATAGATTTTTTTCACATGAAATGTATTCTTTAAATTAGCTGTAAATGCAAGATTCATCCTACATGTGAATATGTTCCACCATAATTTTTTCTAGGATGTCATTTTCTTCTTGCACTCGACAGAGCAGAACACCATTCCCTCAATTGGCATGAACTTTTGACCAATCAGGCACTTGCTGCAACATGAACATAAGAAGCATTCTGCTGTGGCATGCCAATGGAATCCGCTGTAGCTCACACGTTGAACTTCAGGATCAACAGCATTGTGACAGCCCTGGCATGTCTAAAGAAATAAAGAAAGGGTTAAATAATGTTACAAATGAGAAAAAGGGAATAACAGATTTCTTTAAATTAAATTATACTTTGAGTTCAGTTCCAGTTTAGGAACTTCTAAACCCTTTGTCTGGTTTCAAAGAGTGAAGATTTACTATGTTATTGGAATATTTAGAAATTTGTGCCATGAAAAATACCTCGTCTTCAATTTCATCTGAAAAAATCACAGAGCACTTCATGGTATGGGAATGTGCCAAGAACCTCATAGATTTAAATCTGCAGTGTAAATCTATGACACTGCTACCTCTGAGTTCTAGTCTCATGAAATTTGTAGTGAGATTTGATAATGTCACTACTGTGCTGCTCACTGTTCTGGAGGTGCTGACATGAGGAAGCAAAGCCCTGCCTCCACCAAGATGGCTGTCTCCACACAGAGACAGGGCACAGCACAAGGTATGGTAGGTCAGTAGTGTGAGAAAGGGGTCAGTTGTAGGAAGACTACATTGGATACTAGGGGCTAGTCATTTGTCCTCTGCCTATTTTTGGCTTTTTGGGCACAGCTTCCAGAGTTCAGGTCCTTTTAAAAGATATTTCCAGGTTAAAGTGAACATGTGGCCAGGCTAGAAGCATTTACAGTTGTGCTCATATGTTTACATACTCCTGGTAGAATTTGCCAGATATGAACCATTATTTAAGAAAATATGAGTAATCAGGCCAACACATTTCTTTTAATTTTAATGTGCTTCAAATGTAAATTAGGCATCAAAGATTTTGCACAATCATTAAACCACAAACATTAGCAATAAAAGTAAAATAATAAAATGGTCCTGTTTAAGTTGCTATTAATGCTTGCAAACTTTTAAACAGTCTTTCTTATAGTTGTGAATGAGGCCCTTTATTTTCTTATACAGTAAAGCCGTCTAATCTTCTTGGCAAAAACCCTCCAGGTTCCGCGAGTTCTTTAGTTGTCTAGCATGAACTGCATGTTTGGAGATCTCCTCAAAGTAGCTCAATTATGCTGAGGTCACTCCATAACCTTTACTTTTTGCTCCTGCAGCCACTGAAGGATTGACATGGCTTTACGTTTCAGAGCACTGTCAGGTTACAAAGTCCACGCGCCCCACAATGTGCAGCTTCCAGGCTGATGACTACAAATGTTTCTGCAATATTTTCTGATAATCTGCTTCCATTAATTTTAAATAAATTCCCAGTGCCATTGTAGCTCACAGACTACCAAAAGAGTAGCGCTCCACCTCCAGCCTTTACATGCCTTGTGACCATAAAGTTAACATTTGGTCTCATCACTCCAAAATGATCTTGTTCCACCTGCTTTGAGGTTTGTCTAGGCACTGTTTTAAGTGGGCTGTTTTGTGGAGCTAGTGTAGCAAATATGACCTTTTACAAATACTTTCAGGGGTATGTAAAACACATTTGTACATATTCACAACAGAAGCACCAAAGTTTTTTAAGTCCTTTTCAGCAGCTCTGGTCGCCCTGCTCTCATCTCCTAGAGAATGTGTTCTGTACTGACGTTACCTGCATTCACACCTAGGTGTGTTTTTGTGTTTCTGCACGCATTTTGCCTGGCATATTTTGCTTGTTTTTGAACATTTTTACGTACGTTAGACACGTGCACATGAAGATCTGCATCTAAGCTAGCAGATTGCAATACACTGCGTTCAATGGGGGAACGCGATTAAAAACGTGCAATAAAATATGCCTGTGTTGTGCATTTGTCAGGATTTTTCAATGAAGTCTATTGGGCCAGACACACTGCAAAATGCCCCAAAGAAGCTCAACAACTTTTTAGCAACAGCTGGTATGCAGCTTGTGACAAAACGTTCTAGTGTGAATGGGGGCCATTGAAATCATTGGGAATTCATGTGCTGAACATTTTACCTAGGTCTGAATGGGAAGGGAGATTATAGTGAACTAATTGGGCTTAGACAAGAATTTCAGTAGTTCTGATGTAAAATGTGTGGATGAATTGCTCCAAAATGGCTGTTGTCAGGACATCAGTGAGGGCTTGTTTAAGGCTCCTTTATTACTTGTTAATAATATGTACATTTCTTGAACATTCATAACCAGGTAACAGATTCACTTTAAGTGTAAATCCCCAAGCTGCCTCAGACTCCTTCCTATAGTAGCATATAGAAGACCCCTCACAAACCAGTTAAGCCAGACTATTTAAAGACAATAGTGACAATACATTAGCACTGCTCGAACGGTTAAACAAATCCAGATTTTACAAGCAATTGGCAGCTGAATGCAGTCTACTGATTAGAGGAAAAGAAGGTAGGTGCAAGAGGGAAGACCCTTTGGTTAATTACATTAAAGCATTACAAAACCATAGGGCAACAATGGCGAACCTATGACACGCAGGGCCCTCTGCTGGCACATGAGCCAGAAGCGTGCCTCATTGCCGTTATTGGTGACTGATATTACCGAAATAAATAAACATTGTGCAAAGTTCTTGAGGAACCGGCCGAAATTTGCACAGTGGGTGCCGCTGTCTGGCTGGCATCCCACGATCAGCTGATCAAAGAAGTCGGTCAGAAGCCGGCAGCCATTGAGCTGCCTGCCCTGTTCAGGTATTTTGACAGTGGCCGGCGGCATCAGAATACAAAGTCAAAAACATACAGCAAATAGCAGGGGAAGCATTAGCTCTTCGGATATCTGCTGATTCCCCTGCTATCTGGGCTGGTTATTGCACCTGCCCACTGTTACGGTCAATCAGCAGAGGAGTGGATCTGAAGGAGAACTTTCTCCTTCTGGTAAGCTCCTCTGCTGACTGACAGCCGGCAGTGGGTGGGTGCAATAGCCAGACTGTTATTGCAATTTGAAATAGCCAAAAACACGCTGGCTATCCCCTGCTATATGCTGGATTTTTTTTGTATTCCGACAGCGGCAGCCGGCCGCTGTCAGAATACAGAAAAAAAAACCAAGAAAAACAGGTGGCTAGGGGGTCGACCGATGTGCAGGCGACTGCCTGCTGTTTAAATTCAGCTGCTAGTGCAGCTGGATGTAAACAGAATATCGGTACCCGATATCGGTTATCGGCCTGAAAGATGGTCCATAAATCGGTACCGAAAAATCCATATTGGTCAACCCCTAGTAAAGTATAGGTTGGTACTTTGAGATACATAAGTTGGTTTAGTGACCCAGTTTGGGCACTCAGGCTCAAAAAGGTTTGCCATCACTGCCATGGGGGATACCTATTATTAGTGGAAATGTTTTAAGTCCATTAATTAAAATCCCATCAACTGTGCCGTTCATATCTGGTCACACTGCATTTAACTCTGTCATAATATTAATACTCCACCACTGCAGACTTGTTTTATAAGCTTCTTATGCTCATCTTAAAGCCCATCTTTGGCAAAGGAAAAAAAAACAACAA